TTCAACATAAATGCATTGTTACATCGGACTCCATGATTCTTCTTTTTCAACACAACTATCCATCGGCAAACAAACAATGTTTCAAAATATTTAAAAAAGTTTTACCAACAATGAGCCAAATACGATCCTCTCAAAGTTTTATTTTTTTGAATATGTGTTACGTCCGGGGGATTTCACGAATTCTTTTCTTTCGGAAAAAGACAACGGCTGCTAATCTGAAAATGAAGCGCTTCGAACGATCTAAAGAAACCCTAAATAAATAAACAAAAATTCCTCTCGAGATACGTCTCACATCAAAAAAATATATATATATAATTCTTGAGATAGACAGCTTTGTCGGCACCGACAAGTTTATGACATACTAATAAAAATAAAAAATATTAACAAAAGCAAATTTCTAACGGATAAGAAACGTTCGAATCGTTCGAGGGTGACACTCCCCAAATTGATGGGGAAACTAAGGGAAACGCCAATCAAGAAGAAACGATTAGCGGCCGTTGGCGGCCACACCAAATGAATGATTGAGGGTGTGGAATGGCGGGAAAATTTTCACTAATTAATTCCATCATTCGCTAGGAAATCTGGAAATATAAAAACAACCACAATTCACAGAACACCGCTCCCCTCCTTCTTCTATACTCACAATTTTTCTAAACTATCATTCGACAAGCCAACGCGGAAATCCATCACGCCCTCAGATATTCCCACCCCTTCGGAACCCTTTAAAAACCGCGACTTGAAGCGGATCGCTCTCTTCTCTCTTCACATCGCCCCAAGTTTTGACGGACGGGATCATCCGAGGTTGGCGCCAATTTTTTCAGTTAGAATCTGTGCGCGATATCTTTATTCACGTGTGATACGATCCACGATCCAGCGCAGGCACCACACTTCTTGCCCATCACCAGCACCCGCCACGACAAGAGTAAGTCCAATTTTATTACTCCTTTCCCGCGGTAGATTGGCTGTTTGGTTCGCGATCTCTACCTAGTTGTTTCATTAAAATACTCCAACATTCCAAATTGGCAAGCTGCCGATTAACTCGGTGAAGCTGCCTCTCCCAATTTCTCCACACTCCGACTTGGCAAGCCGTCGATTAATTCGGTGAAGCTGCCTATCTCGATTCCAGAACACTCCAACCTGGCAAGCCGCCGATTGATTCGGTGAAGCTGCTTTACGATTCCTCAATTTCTTTTTTTTACTACTCTCACCTCACATTCTTTTTCATTTGACTCTTATTTATATAGTGAACCAAACGAAAGCCATCCCGAACAACACCCAACGAAACGGGCATTGCGACACCGTCGGGAGAAGTTTAATAAGCGGATTCGTCGCGAAACCGGACACGCCGAAGAACTCGCGGAGCAGTTAATAGACGTAGACTAGCTAACATCTCTCTACACCAATACGCCACCGCCCTCAGCTCCGCGGCTGACTTTGAGAAACAGTGCACTCCAGAGCACTTCGACGCGGAAAAATTCTACGATCTCGTCCGTCAATTTTCCCGCTCTCCCACCCATCCATTTCCTAGCACCTTCTTCATTAAAAGAAGATTCAAACCCGACAGCCAGTTTTGGGATCAGATCTCAAAACACCAAATTACCGATACCATCCCTATGTACATTTCCCGTGATCCTCTTCCCTACCTCGTTCCAGTCAAGGCTTTCCGCAGCGCTTACCCTGATCCCCCGCCACACCTGCAACCCGATCCCATCGACATGCTCGCAATCACCAATTTTTTACCCCAATTGGAACAATTGGGTATATAAAATCCAGATTTTCTTTTGTTTGTTTATTATTATTCAAAATTTACGTATAAAAATTTTTCTTTTTCTTTTTGTAACCAGTATTTCAACATTTTAATGTACACAGTAAAATTTGCGAATAACATTGTAATTCTTTTTTTTTATTATTATTATTAAATCAGTTAACTCGAATTCCGTCCCAATTTATTTACCCTAAAATTTGACCCCGAACCATTCACGGCTCCCTGAGGATCGCACGAGGTCCATCCCTAGTAAAAGAGATTCGATTCTCTGACCAAAAAACGGACCACCGGTAGCGCGGGCGCAGGTAAGGGTTATAACGTCACCGACGCTGACCCAATTCCTGTCCCCTTAACGCGCGTTCAACTCGCGGATCGACCTCACGACGTCGTTCCGTGAGAACAGAAAAGGTTCCGTGCGTCCACCCGAGTTCTCCTCCTCCTGACGAAAGGTATTATCTTTCCTCTAGAACCACGGACGTAACATATGTAAAGCGCGAAACAAAAAAAAATGCCGATGCGTGAGAAACATAAGGTTTCTGAGATCGTCTAAGACTGACATCCCCGAATCGAGGGGGGGAGGTAGAATTAAAAATATGTCAATCGGAAGTTTCTAATTAGCAGCCGGTGGAGGACACATCAATAAGTGAAATCAACGTATTCTACGAAAAAAAAATTTTAGCAGAAATTTTTAGAAACTCATTCCATCATTAGGAAAACTAAGGATACAAAAACAATCACAGTTGCAATGCCATTCTTTCCTTTCCCTATTCTATGCGATTCTTCCATACTTTTATTCGAGATTAACTCAAAATCTAGTAATTCCTAAGATCAATCCACCTCTCAAAAATCTTTTATTCACGACATCAAGTTTGCGCTCTTTTTTACTTTGTTCTTTATCCGGATGTTGCTGATGAACACTTCAAATTTCAATCAAATTTCGAAGCCCGATATTAGAGTCTATACGCGATTTTAAATGTAGTAATACCAGTGCAGAAGAAAAAAATAAAACCTTTCAATTATCTCCAGTCGATCATCTCCAAAATCGCGAAACATCTTAACCAGTAAATCATTATTTTAATAATTTTCTTCTGTAACTTGATATGATCCTCTTTTTTGCTTTTTTGCTTTTTCTTCGCGATTACTCGTTCGGTTCTTTCTCGAAAACCTAATAATTTCTTTCTCTTTTATCTTCTCTTCCTCTTTTATTTCTCTTCTCACTTCTGCCATCAATAAGTTTATAGGTTCGCCCTTAAGACATAATTTGTTAACTCGCGGTCGCTGAAAATCTCGGTAAATTTCCTTCACTTATCTATTTATACACACAAATTTCCCTTAAATATCATCAGCCCTTTCACTTATATTGTACATTCTACTACATCTTTTATAATGAATATAACCGAACAAATTCTTTCCGGAAAAAACGGATTAAGGCATTAAAACATCTCCATTATAAAAGGAACAGACTTGACTGACACTCGACCAATCGTTACAAGGAATTCTAAATGAAATAATAGAACAAATACCCCCACCCTTATTATTGCTATTTTTCTTCCGTATTCTCCTCACTCCTCACCCTCTCCTGTGAGTTTTATCTCTACAATAGAATTTGTAGAAGAAAACGAATATTTTCCTGAATAATTTGTAAAGACCTTATTTTATCAACTGATTCAGAAATTTCCTCAATCCTTCACTCTTTCAACACTGAAAACACTCTACCACTTTAATGGATAAAGCTGCACTTTTGGCAGAAGGTTCAACACCAGATTTTTTTCCCTCTAAACCCTTTTCATATTTAATTCCAGTCAAATGCTTTTATCTTGCCATCCCAGATCTTCCACCATACATACAAAACTTCCTTAGACTAAATTATATAATAAACGAATAGATGTATTAATTCCACATATGTAATAGTCCGGGGAGGATTGTATACATTAGCATTTTAGAAATCAATCTATCTCCCTTAGATTTTCTGTCTGATAGCTTCTGGAATTATATAAACGCAAAAATATACACACCATATACACACTCACCTACACCCAAATTTCCGCCCATATACTCAGAACTATCTCAGAACTATCTCGTTAATTATCGTTAATCTATAATCGTTAATGAGACTAGGAAGTTTATGTTACGGTTTATCTCCTTTTCAATGAGATAAACTTAAGTCGAGTGCGATAATTATTAAAAATGACTAAGACGTATGAGATGTCAATCACTTGGAAGTGCTAATAAAATATCATCAACATAACGATAGTAGATTGGTAGAGACATTGGAATACATTGGAATAAACCGTAACATAAGCTTTCTAGACATCTCATTAACGGTTTTCTTTCCAATTTTTTACCTAATTGATTAGAGTCTTATAATAACAAAAAAATTTGATTCTCTTCTACTTTCTCTAGTTGATTAATTTTTATTCCACTTAATCATTAGATTTACACACTGTACACATGTTAACAACGACTCTCGAACTTTTCACATACTTGACAACCATTAGACAACTATTTTTTAAGTACTGACTCGGAATTATTCACGCTTATCAAAGATGAATATTCCCGTTATACAGTGTCATTTGGGATTTTTGCAAGATAGTGAGACTGAATTACATCAATGTGAGAATATGACGACAACATCAATATTAAATTACAAGATAATTTCCGTTGACTTTATATTTTGGCTCTCTGTTATCTTCATATAAATTTTATATAGCGATATTGTTAGTTTTTGGATGTGGTAGTTATGCAGTTGATTGTTAACTTTTATTTTTACTCTTACAATTATTATATTATTCATAATTTTTACAATCTTTTATTTGTTCGCACTTGAATCTAAATGTGGCGCGTTCTATAATTTCACCGAGCTAATTTTCATGCATTTTCTATTCTCTTTTGTTTTTTATCGCTTTTGTTAAGACAAATTGCTGAAGAAGGCTCCGTAAAGCTGTTACGTACAATATCAATTTTATATTGAATATGAGCTGCTAATTATTATTTTAACAATAAATATTGTTTATTCAAATTTGTTTTTATCACGTCACTTCGTTTTCGCTCGTTCATTGACCTCTCTTTCCTCTTATTAGAAAACGTAATTTGATATTTAAATGACTTTTGAATAAAATATTATATATCTTTCAAAATTGTGAACAACAGAGAGTATATCATATTAATAGTATCATATTTTCATATATCCTAATTAATATAATCAATGTAATATTGTACTTATTTATTGTTATAGCTACGGAGGAAAAATTCGATCTTATATATAAGAAAAGGATTATAGATGACAAAGATGGAGTTGAGATAACATGTGCGGCTGAAGGACTTTATCCTCAACCAACTTTAGAAATTTCTGTCGAGTGAGTATTTTTTTATGCAATTTATATTAAAATGCTTTCAAAATGATGTAACGTTCTGCCTTTTTTTAATTTTTTTATGTGGCACACGTTTTATGTATTTGATTATATTTTTCAAATTCATTAAATTATTTATGATATTCAAACATGATATAAAAGTAAAACATTTTATACAATTGATAAATTTTTAAGATCATTACAGATTCCTATATTTCAAAAAGTACGATAAATACATGAAAATATTCTAAAATAAATTGTTACGTCCAGTGGACTCCATGATTCTTTTCTTTCTCTAAAAGCGTTATTAATAATATTTTCTCTCATATAAGAATATTGGTTTCAATCTTTTATTAATAAGATATGTATCCATGAAACAAAAGAAAAGAATTGTAACCGCTATGCAACTATACTATAGCAATCTTTTTATTTAATGAAAAAAGAATATTATTAAATATTATAAATCCTCAGATTGGATCTGTCACAAATCTATATAAAGCATAAGCATACAATGAGCATGAGTAAGATATCTAACGTAAACATCCTGTCTAACTCGCATCCTGTCTTATCCCGCCTTTTTCTTTTTTTTTTTTACGTAGAGAAATGCATTTACACACTGACCTTTCAGGTATCAAACTACCCGAGAGAGTGTGAGACTCACAGGAGAAAAGACCTTTCCCACTAGATACTAAAACTGCACGGTGTCCTTCGTTGGCCATTCAGCGATGTGCCCGGGAACGACCATCGGCACACTTCTGGGTGCCTCGCTGGTCTGCCAGGCCTAAATAGTTAGCCCAGCCCTTTTTCACTTAAGCCATGGGTGGGGACACAACCACTCCGCTGCTACCTCCCGTGGGAGGGGATGAATCTCCTCCCCCCCACTAAATTAGAGCTCGTAGTTCCCGAGGACTAGTCTGTCCTCATATGTGCCGGGGGACGCCTTCTTCTAAAATAAAAGCGGGCGAGCTCTGAGACTTCCCGCCTGTGCGGGGTCACTCCTCTCCTCACTCTTTCTGCCTCCTCCTTCCGCGAGATAACTGCTTCGCAGAAAGAGGAGGCTGCCTTCCACTCCTTCTCTCCCTCTAGCATTCTTGAAACAAGTGCTTGAAAGGAGAGGTCATTTCCTACTGCGGCGCTCGCCGGACAGTGTTCCAGCGTATGGTGCGCCGAATCCCTGATCGTCCCACAATGATAGCAGTCAATAGTGCGCTATCCTATCTATACGGCACAGGTACTCATGATACCAAAGTAAATGCCCGCAAAGCCCCTGTGCCAAACCTGAAAGTCAGCTCGCCGTGGCCCCTCCCCACCCATTCTGGTGAGGAAAGGCCGAATGACCTCGGTGATGACGCGGCCGGACGCACTCGAGTCCTCGAGTCTTCGCTGTCATAGATGCTGACCCGACCGCACTCCTCCCTCCTGATTTTTGCCACGGCTCTCGCCGCAGGGGTTACTCCCTCCTATCTAAGCGCTGGTGTACCGATATATGTCCGCGCGTTCCAGAGCCAAAAAGTCCACGGGAGAAGTCCCGGCGAGGATCGTGACACCGTCCTATATGTGCGAGCGACTCTGGTGATCATGCAGCGTTGCGCCTTATTTGCCACCGCTTGAATGCCGCGGCTGGCTGTTATCGCTATCGCCCACACTGGTGCCCTGTACAGAGTCACCGACAGAATGGCGTTCACGTATAGACGCAGCACCACCGAGGTTGGGCAAGAGGCGATTCAGCACGTTCGCCATCCTGCCCATTCTGGGAGCGAACAACTCGAAGTGAGTCCCGAAAAAACCTCCAGAAACTATTCAGGGTGAGGTCCAGATACTTTAAATGCGGCCCACCCTAATGCGGACTGATCCTATCACGATGTATGCCGGAGGCGGCGCCCTCCGAGCCTTCTTATAGAAAAATATTGCCTTGGATTTGTGAGGCGCCATCTCCAAGTCCATGGCCGTTATGGCCCGCGTGACGCCACAGTCAAGTTCGCCATGACCAGCGCATACTGCCAGTCCATCACCAATGTGTCGTCTGCATAACAGACGAGGTGGCAGCCAGGGAGGGGGGTGCAAAGCACCCGATCATAGGCGAGATTCCACAGGAGCGGCCCAAGCACCAACCCTTGAACTCCGCAGGATATTCTCCGCGTTCGAGTCCTGCGCGATCGCGAAACCCAATATATCTATCTCTGAAATAGTCCTAAAGGATCTCCTTTCCTCCTATATGGAGGCGGTGATAGTCCATCGGAGAAGGAGTTGAACGCATAGGAGTTGAACAATATTTCACAATATCCAGCAATACTGCGATCGCAACTCCCCTCCCCCCTTCGATCACCTGGTCCAAGAGGATCTTGTCTTAACATTGTGTCGATCGTAGAGCGGCCCGTCCGGAACCTGTATTGGTCCTCCTAGATGTTCGGACCACATAGGGACAGGTGACGAACGAGGCCTGAGATGATTCGTTTGAAGAACTTACCCGCTTCATCCAACAGACATATCGGCTTGTACGTCGGGAGTCCGCCGGCTTCCCCTCCTTTCGGAGAATCATATTGGCCCTCTTCCAGTTGGAGAGGAAGCGATTAGTTCTTAGCCTATAAATCTGTAAATAACTGCTTCAGCCAGTCATCAATGCTACCCAAGATCAGAACCCAGATCCTTCCTGGGACCCCAAAGCAACCATGCCCAGAAAGCACCTGTGCCAACTTGAGGGTCAGCCTACCGTGGTCTCTCGTGTGAGCTGGGAGCGATGGATTTGCCCCCGAGCCTCTTAGCTGCGGAGAGCAATTCGTCTTCTGTGACTCCGAGGCTCCTCCTCCCAATTATCGAATGGGTCTTAGTAGGAGAGCACACATGGTTGTCTCGTTAGAAACAAGGCTCCCACCACCTCATCCAGGAATTCGAGTCCCTTCGCGACTGGGGCCGCCGCGTGTCGAAGTCGCTTTAATACGATTTTGCCCAGCGCCCCCAGGAATCCCTGTCTAGGGAGGAGACTAATTTCTCCCTCCGCCTTTGTCATCCTGATGGCCGCGCTGAGGCGCAGGCCATTCTATAGGCTTCTTACGCTTCCCCAATTCTGGCGAGATGCCCCGTCTGCGGGCTCGCGTGAACGATCTTCTTGCGCGGACCGAGAGTCGCCGAAGTTCAGCGACTTCTTCGGTCCATCAGTATGCGGCCTTATCCCGCTTAGCTATCCCAGATTCCTACCAACATCCCTCCTCTACACAAGAATCAGACACTATAAAAATGGAGTTTTTCTGGGGAACAGTGCCATTTCTTTGCCATTATTTTTCCATTTTTCATTTAGTGCAGAGTCATTTTTTCTTTGCCATTCATTCTTCATTTTTCATTCATTCCAAAACACTTGATTGCAAGCTGCTAATTTTCATTCAGCACTAAGTATTTATTTAATCCGAATACTTGTTCACGAGCACTCATTCTCCATATTTTATTCTGCACTAATTATCCAACAATCAGTCTTCACTCAATTATCTTTTAAAACTGATAATTAAAATCAATGAATTTAAGTCAACGTTCTAAAATAATATCGAGAGTTGTTTTGCAATATTCCAGCTCCCAGTCAACAGTAAGTTTCACCCTAATTATTTACTAATCGTAAATCGCAAATCTTTGGATTTTCGTTTCATTTCGTTCTTCCACTTTACCTAAACTTATTCTTCTTTCTTTTTTTCTCCTCCTCCTTCTCTCTTAGTCGCTGATGCGGACTATTCGATGTATCCCCCCGCCTCTCTCTCTCTCTCTC